AATGTTCCACATTTGGTGTGTTAGGTCAAAGCCTTTCTGCAGAAACTCAACGTTTTGCAGCTCAGCTGTGTAGCAGAGACCATGCACTTTGACACTGTGATTTTATGGAAGGAGAAAATTCTTCTAGAGAGAGAGAGAAAGACTGTATGTATATGAACTGAAGTGGAAATGGGTATATTTTTAAACGGGGAAGACACAGAGGAACTAGAGTATGCAATGTATTTTCTATTCTGCAAAAGAAATAAATAACTGTAAATGGAAATAACGTGTCTGTTGATTGTTTGATGTTTGTTGAAGCCAGAAAAATGGCCAAAAAAGTATAGTCTCATTTCCTGTGGAAGTCTTGAGGTTTAAAGCAAGCAAGGTGTAAACTTAACTGGAACAAGAAGTGAAATTTTTATATCACAAATTGCAGTAACTTACCATCGTATTGGAAAGTAGTCAAATAGGAAAGAAGTCAGAGGACCTAATTCCAACATTGAAAATTTGAAGTTTATTGCTCATAGCTGCCAACTGGAATGCCATGTGTGTACTGCAACATTTGTCAATGATCATTCATATTGCAAAAATATAACAAATTACAATCATATTCATTATTGCACTGGTAGGTTTATTTTACACCTGAATGAACTGTGTAAATCTTGAAAATGGAGATGTTTGCATATGATGTCAAAATCTTCTATAACTATAACTTTTCATAATCATTGCAAGAAGTAACATTACAGAAAATTGTGTTTCCAAAAATCTATACATTAATTACATTTTTATCTTACATGTTTGCACCCTTTGGGTGAGAACTATATGCAAGTATTGCACCGTATCACAGATATTGCTAAAGCAATTATACATTGGTAGACTCTTTGGTACTTTGACAAAGTCCTTCCCTCAGTTAGACTTGTTACATTTTACACCGTTATTTGTTTAAACTCTCTTCAGGAATACTCTGGTGTGCAAGTTTAATTTTAATTTAGTGTTTTACACAAATTATTGCACAAATGCCATTCAACATGATCTAGATTACTAGGTATCAAAATTCCCTGATACAAAAATGGCTGTCTCTGCCAGCATCTCATTACAATCACCATAATTTGTTACAAAGTTATAACAGCCAGCAAGAAATTATACTGAAAGGTGTATCACACCAGTGTTGTCTGGCTGTGTCTCATACCCCATCCGTCTGGTGTGCTCCCACAGACACGTAGGCATGCGTGCTGTCAGTCAGAACCAGCGGGCTGTCAACATCGTTGCCCATGGTGATTTCTGTGACCTTGTCTGAACTTGCTGAGCCCTGAAGGGGAAAAGGACAGGTATGTTTACTGTCCTTGGACACCAAGGACAGGTATTTTCACAAGTGTGATGAAAGGTACTCAGCACAAAGTATTTAGTAAGAAGAACAGGTATATCTATTGTGGAAAGTGTTCAGCACCAAGGACAGACATTTGCACTTTTGCAATGTTGTGGAAAACCGTTCAGCATCGATCAAGAACAGGTATGTGCACTGTTGTGGAAAACTGTTCAGTACCAAGGACAGGTAGGTGCACTGTTGTGGAAAGTTGTTCAGCACTAAGGACAAGTATGTAGACTGTTATGCAGAAGTGTTCAGCACCATGGACAGGTATGTGCACTGTGTGTACTGTTGTGGAAAACTCATCAGCTCTAAGGACAGGCATTTTTATTCGTAGCTAAGGAAAGTATTATATCAGAAATATCAGAAAGTATGTGCATATAAACATATGGTGTTAAATGTATTTAGCATCGAGGACAGTAGGCTCACTGATATTCAGGATGTTCATCACCAAGGACAGGCCACAATACAGAACTAGAAGTAGTCACCACATAGGTTTGTTTACCGAAATGTATGTTTACTGGACTGTAAGGTGTTCAGTACCAAGGACAGGCATGTTCATTAATGCGGTAGGTGTTCAGCACCAAGGAGAGGCATTATTATTTGGTATTATTTTTATTGATGTGGTAGGTGTTCAGTACCAAGGGCAGGCATGTTTATTGATGAGGTAGGTATTCAGCACCAAGGACAGGCATGTTTATTGATGTGGTAGGTGTTCAGCACTAATGACGGGCATGTTTTTTGATGTGGTAGGTGTTCAGTACCAAGGGCAGGCATGTTTATTGATGTGGTAGGTGTTCAGTACCAAGGACAGGCATGTTTATTGATGTGGTAGGTGTTCAGCATTAAGCGCAGGAATGTTTATTGATGTGGTAGGCGTTTAGCACTAATGACGGGCATGTTTATTGATGTGGTAGGTGTTCAGTACCAAGGACAGGCATGATCATTAATGCGGTAGGTGTTCAGCACCAAGGAGAGGCATTATTATCATTAATGCGGTAGGTGTTCAGCACCAAGGAGAGGCATTATTTTTATTGATGTGGTAGGTGTTCAGCACCAAGGACAGGCATGTTAATTGATGTGGTAGATGTTCAGCACCAAGGTCAGGCATGTTCATTGATGTGGTAGGTGTTCAGCACCAAGGACAGGCATGTTTATTGATGTGGTAGGTGTTCAGTACCAAGAAGAGGCATGTTCATTGATATGGTAGGTGTTCAGCACCAAGGACAGGCATGTTTATTGATGTGGTAGGTGTTCAGTACCAAGAAGAGGCATGTTTATTGATATGGTAGGTGTTCAGCACCAGGGACAGGCATGTTAGACTGCAGGCAAGGTACCCAGAATAAAGGGCATTTGCTAAGTGGTGGAGGTGTTCAGCTCGAAGGATAGGTATAATTGTATTACACACGTAAAGCATGAAGTATACGCGTGAAATAGATTCAGGATAAACGTGTCTACTGTTGTGAAAGGTGTTTAACACCAAGGGCGTGTTTTCAGAAAACCGACTACCGTTCACCTGTATGTGTTGCCTGTACATGCCCCAGCGGTAGGAGATGTCCGGCCAGTACCGCACCAGGATCAGGTTACATCCTAACAATACGATCACTGCTCCGGCCCACTGGGGGGGGGGGGGGGCAAATGACAACATTACTACACTGTAAAAATATGACAAATGACAACATCACTACACTGTAATAATATTGGACACTGAGCAAGACTACTTCTTGTGAGGGGTGAAAGAGGCTATATTTACATCAGGGCCTATCATCCTTCACTCAATCGCGACGGGAACGATATCGTCTATCAGATACCTTTGACCCAGTGTTGACCTGACGTCACACTTCAAAGAAGCCACGTGACAAGTCTCACTGGGTCAGTCTACTAAGGAAGACCTGAGTGACTGGTGGAAATCTCTAGGTGATTTTCTTTGTGTCGGATCAAAGGTTTTAGCTTTATACATGTACACTGTAACTACCAACACAGATGAATAAACCTCTTGGTTGTGTAAAAAGGGTGTTTTCATTCAGTGACTTACCATCCTGGTGAGGCTATTGACTGAGAATGCTGACTGACCTGTACCCAGCACATCATGAGTGACTCCCGCCACAGCTCGTACCACGGCCGGACCTCGCTCTCAACTTGCTCTATCGTCCACCAGATGAAAATGAACAGCGCCTGCGCAGGAATCAGCAACCTGTGGGGGTGAAATGGCGGGAAAACGAGGGGAGAAGGAGATACATTTGTATGATTATTTTTACCTTCGTAGAAGGAAAACATACTGTCTTTACCCTGTTTCTTCTTCCATTTCAAACACACAAGGTCATTGGCCTGGACCAGATGGCTGTCACCATGGTAACTGATGCTGTATCAGACGCCCTGTGCTGTTGGCATACATTATGTCGCGACTTGCAGATCAGAGTTGGATCAGCATATACTACAGTATATAAAATACAGTATGTAAAATTACAGTAAGAATAAACAGAACGAACAGTAGTTTGTTATGTACACAACGTGAAGGTAAACAATATACATTTGCTTTGTAAATGTTATAATTACCTTTCTAATTGTCAATACTTTAGGATATACTGTACATCACATAAAAAAATGTCCCAAGTTAAAACAGTATGATAATGGCGTCCACTGGTGAGGTGCATACACATTAAAGTGCAACAAGTGTAACTTTAAAAATGGGATATGATGACGTCAGATCTAACCTTATGACCCAGATCCACACGACAGGCAGGTGCCAATCAAACAGGTAGCCGTACTGTAAAGATAATGTCATCAGAAATGATTGACATTTTTATTTGTTTCTTGTCCAACATCTATCACAAGACATGGCGACGGCACACTCAATTTTTTTTTCAACTTATTTCATGTCGCCACCAACCCAGACAATCTCATGGACAATAGACATACTCATTTTTACCAGAGTTAAGTGAGGAAATTGGCAGGTTTCGAACTCGGGACCTCTTGGCCGAACGCTCTGTCGTTGCGCCACAAGACCCAACTAAATTATTGATTGATTGCCTTTTAGAGTGCAAGAAATAGGTAACGTTGAGTAGGACAGTGTCGAGGTAGGAAGTTTTGAGCTTACGTTTTTGTGCATTGTTCTTGCGTTTGTTTGTTTGTTTGTTTGTTTGTTTGTTTAAAAGCAATTCAAATCTTTATTTCTTTATTTTCAAACCTTCAAATCTTTATTTCTGAACTACATGTAGGTGACGTCAGGAACTCCACGGTACCTCGTTAATGACGACATCTCTGAATTTCCGCACCCCAAATCTTAAGGCAAGTATCGTCAGGCCAATCCCACAGAACAGTAGTGAGAAACCCCACACAAAATCCTGTAAAAAAAGACAAAACTGCTATTAGTAGATAAATCCGGTCGAAAATAACTCATCTATAGGAAAACAATCGAAACCATTGGAATCGAAACAATAGAATGGCTAGATCTCTGTATCCGTAACACATCTCCAGCCCGTCAAGTGTAAAGCTTGTTGCATCCAGAACGGACGGTGCTTTATCCAGAACCACATGCTTCTGGATAGTCCACGCGATTCCAGAACCAAGCCTGGGGCAAATCTACGTTCTTGGACACGCAGAGACTATCCAGAACCGAGCCTGATCGTCGCCCTGTGCTAGCCCATTCATGCATAATCACTAGATAAGCGCTGTTCTGGATACGATAAGGTTTAATAGACCCCCACCTGGTTGACGAGGAAATTGATGTCCAGTGCTGACGGTAGACCAATCAGAAACATGAGAAGCGTCACGCCCAGAACAGTCAGCTTCCGTGGAACTGCATGATGTCATACAAACATAAGAAGGGGCCAGAGAATTTTTTATATGTTACAAAGTATCATATTCGACGTGGTCACATTCGACGTAGGCAGTCGTGCGATTATGACGTCGTAGGATTTTCAAGCGCATATTGAGACAAAACCAACCGCCGACAAACAAGACAACATTTTCCTTAAAAACACATTTTGTACGACACATGCACAACTATCCCAAGAATACCATCAGATTGTACGACGTATGTGAACTCTTAAAAATGATGCATAAACCTTTCATGTTACACGATGATAAAGTTAATAACGAAAGGATAGAATGATACAGGAAGGACTGACCTCCGAAGTCCTCTATGTTCCTGACTACCGACTCTACAATAGTGATATGACTGCTCCATCCCGCCATGAGAACACACAGGAAGAAGATCGCACACAACACCCGTCCTCCTGTCATGGTACCGTATAGTATAGGCACCCTGGGGGAGAGATGCAAGTGTCAATAGAAACCCCACCTTCATTTTCATTTCTTCACATTTTCTTCCGTTCCTTTGGTATTGAGTTTGGCATTTCTACGACATTAGTATCGTTTTTCAATATTTTAGTGCAATTTACGGCATATCTTCATCAGTTTTTTTGTGCTTTGTATGGTTTACAGCATGCTTAAAATTTTGCCTTCGTCTGAAGGCTATGTACGTACAATTAGTCATCACTTTGCTATAGCGTGGGAGACTATGCAGCATAACTCTTGAAAGCATAGTTCGATGTTCTTAATTTTTGACAGACACGTTACCGTTGGGAAGACCAAGGTCAAGTTAAAAAATGGGCCTCGTGGGGGGTCCCTACAGTAGTGGACCTTTTGCTTTAGCGTACCATATGAGTGTGAGTCCAGTGTTGGCAGGGCCGTTCTCTTTCAGCAGATCCACTATGGGCGCCAGGGGCATGCCGGGATTGGCAGACAGGTAGAAAGAGAAGACGACACCAAACAACGTCAGAGCGCACATCAGACTGAGGCAGGGGAGAATGGTGTACACATGTCATTATGTTTACCGAAGGAAAACATATTGTTTTTGCTACGTTTCCTCTTCTTCTTCTCCAAACAGTGACCCCTGACCTGACTGAACCAGACTGTCTCTCACCATGGTAACTGGTGTTGGTGCACCATAATGTTGCAATTTCATAGTAGTAGGATTTAGACTCTTGTCACCATATGAATGTGTTTGAGTAAGAATTAACAGAGCAGACCATATTCGAAGGTAAACATTATGCATTTACTCTGCAAATTTTACTTTTCTAGTTTCATTTTTTTCATTTACCCAGGGTGTAACTTATCGCCGATAGGGCGTTTTTCAATGTTCCCTGTGGGCATACATTGGCAAAAAATACTTAAATAACAAACAAGGGAACAAACTTACAAAATAACTTAAATTACAATACCAATAACGTATTGGTAAAAGTGCTTCAAAATCATACGACAAACTAACGAATTACATGAAACAAGCGAAATGAATATAACAAATAAAATGCACAAAGAAGGTAATGGGAATTTGCATGTTTCAATGTCACAAAACAAAAGTAACGGTTACTATGTGCTCAGAACTTCCTGTAACTGAATGTATCTATAGGATCTAATATCCACAGTTGAACAAGTGGAAAGAAAAGTGAACAATAGGCGCTTTTCTTATGATAAAATGTTGGTACTGACCTGACGAGATCGTTGACGACAGGCACGATGGTACTGTACCGGACCACTCCGTGTGTTCGCGTCATGTAGGTGGCCAGCACCAGGAACAGTCCACTGCCAGAACCTGCGGAGGGGTGAAACAACCGCATTCAGATCAAATCTTTTTTTTTAGATCAGAGCCAAAATCAGTTACAAGTTTGCTGCAACATATTTTTCTTACACCTACCGGACTCGGAGTGTAAAAGATGTTTTTCTTACACCTACCGGACTCGGAGTGTAAAAGATGTGCAAATTTTTCTGCGTCACCTGTTCAAGCTAGCAATAAATTTTTCTTTGTTTGTTTTCTCTACAGGATGTAGCTTTATCGAATTCGAAATCAGTCCACGATCTTGCGGTTTTCTGTACAGATTATCAGTAAAGTAATAAGATAAAATTTGAGGAAACACAGAAGACCTCTGACCTGTGTCCCAGGCGTTCTGTACCAGAGCGTCCACCCACAGACCAGGCCTGCCCATCTCCTCTGGAACGGTAACATCAGGGATGCGGCGTCATAATATGACTTGCAAAACGAAACGTACTACTTCCCATGCAACATTATGTGATCATGCAAACGAGATGTACAAAGCGCTACCAGAATTTTTCCCTTTCTCCCAATTTGTAATGAAAATCATGAATAAAATAGATAAAACAAATAAACCAAATACATGAAATAAAATAGAACTAAATGAAATAAGTGAAATAAAATAGATAAAATAAATAACATACACAAAAAAGAATAAATAAAAAAAATAGAATTAATAAAATCAATAGAATTAATAAACAAATGAAAGAAATAAAATAGATAAAACAAATAAACATAGAATAAAGAAAGCACATTAGATGAATTAAACAAATTAATAACTAAAATAAATTACATAAATAAATTAAATTAATTGAATAAATTAAATAAATTAGATAAATTAAATAAAAGTCTACCCACCCCAGTCAGCAGAAAACGTGAAAGTGACGCCTGCCGTAGCGTGAGGAAGCGTCATGGACCAGATGAAGGTGGCGAACATCAGGACCAACAACAAGGGGATCATCACCTGGGCGGAACCAGCAGAGTCACGCACTGCGACTTTGTCTTGTACGAGTAGTGTGTCGAACACGCAGCGTTCCACATTTAAAACTCAATTGTTGTTAGATACCTTGAAAACATCGTGCTCAAAAAGAGTATCAGTACAGACCGCTGTTTGTTTGTTTGTTTGTTTGTTTGTACGGTTAGTGTGCCGAACAGTTAACATTCTAAATCTGGTCAAACTAAGTGTTATGGTTGTTTCCTACCTTGAAAAGCGGTTCGAACGTTTTGACCCCTTTCAAGATGGCGACCGCTGTCATGACGACGATGATGGCATGTGTAAGAATAGGCAAAGCTGTTTCCTGGGGAGAGAATTTTCAAACAAAGTAGTATTTTTCAAGTCATGTTTAAGGAACAGCCAACATATTTTACCAGTCTCTACCAGACTAACCGCAGTTTCAAAATTAACTTAACTTTCAAACACCCCAAGTATAAAATTCCAGGCAGTTACCACTATGCAATTATAATATTTTCTCATTAATTATGCAAATTAAGTCTTCATTTGCAAATCGATATCTGCCTGTATCATTCTTAATAACATATGTCACAAGCTTGAACTTCCTATTATGGAATACAGCTGATAAATAGAATTTCCTAATTTATTATGCAAATTACATCCATATTTGCATAATTGTAATATCATTATGCCAAGCATCACTCAAGCTACCTACATACCAAAAATCACGATGATCCATCAATCGGTTCTTGAGTTATCCCCCTTTAAACATTTGTCCATTAAACCCCCCTGCAGTTCTAGAGCAAGCAACTAGGGGGCTCAAACTCATGTCACTTCATCCCCAGCACAAGAGCTATCTACCATCTAAATTTCGTCACCCTAGCATGTCTAGATCACGAGATATCAAAACCGGAAGTTCAGCTGCAGTACCATAACAAGCCGCCAGGTGGCCCAAAATCTAATCATTTTGAGGTCTCATCAAGACCTACCCACCTACCAAGTATCAAGACAATCCATCAAGACTTTTTCAAGTTATCGTGTTGACAGACAGACAGACAGACAGACACACACACACACACACATACACACACACACACACACACACACATACACGAACGCCCCTGAAAACATAACCTTCTTGGCGAAGGTAATAAGTAGGGAGATAAATTGGGCAGTGGAGTTCAGTTCATTTCAGTTATGAAACCCTAAAAAGGTAGACCCACTGGCCAGTCGGACTCTATTTTAGCTAGCTGAATAGGCTCTGTTCTACCATGATTCTAACCCCCTTTAGCAAGGACTGGGGGAGGCTACTATTTTACTTTGAAATAAATTCAAGGCACAGAATTAAGGTGTATTTTTGTATTTTCTAATCTAAAAGTTTTCTCGATAATTATTGATGTTATGTCTTTGTTTTCCCCTCTTTTCTTGTTTTAATGTTAATATAACACATACACATTATTACTTTCCTTCCAGGGCAGAAAGATAACGTGTACTACCTCAGTGTAGTGCTGGAAGATTTCCGAACTCTCGTCGGCTGTTGTGGGCAGCTCCCATCCGATGGTGATGACCAAGTAGTACAAGTACCAGCCGACGATTACAGCATAGAAACAGCTGAAATATAAACGTAAATGTATCTTAACATATATGTAGCTTTCAACAAACATTATTATATCTTCTATCTTTCCGTATCAGTTAATTAAACAGTTTTTTTTAACATTTTAAGTGATCATTTAGCTAGCCTTGTAGAGGTTAGACCCTGTCTCAGACATGAATAGCCAATTAGATGATTAGAGTAAGTCAATAGTGTTAGGGGGTCAAATTTGACTCAAAGTTAGCTCAAATTCGTTTCGATTTACATAGAAAGGTAGGGGGGAGGCCTAAATCTCGCCAGACTGCTCCCGAATTTCAGCCATCAAAGTTGACTCAAATTTAACTCAAATTCGTTTCGATCCATGTGCAAATGTAGGCGCAGTCTAAATTTGGCCAGACTACTCCCGGATTTCAGCCGTCCTTGGTCGGCTGGTGTTCGGTGGCATTGTCGGGGAAAGGTGAATTGAATATGATGTGCAACCAATGCAATGTCAGAGCGGTAAAGCTGTAAACATTCTGAATAATGTAATCTGTATGATACACATACTGCCCCATATTTGTATCATTATTCTATACTTTGGGCATTTAAAACAGCGCAGAAACAAGCCCCAAAAATCCAACCGGTAACCGTTTTCCGATATACATTGGGATAGTATTGTTTGAACTTAGTACGTAGATAGGTGACTAAAATTGCATTTTCAAAATATGGTTTTCAAGCCCTAAAACTGCATTTTGCACCTTTAAGACTTACCCTATGATGAAACTGGTGAGGACGATCCAGGCGCCGAGCCAGCCGTACATGGGCCCCAGCAGCCGGGCGAAGGACAGGACGGTGGCCTTCCGGGTGTACCTGCCGACCCCGTACTCTATCACCAGCACAGGCACGCACCACAGGATCAGGAACGGCACCCAGGCCAGCAGGAACTGCAGACAGCCTGCAGGGGACATGTTGCTATCAGAACATTTCAAACGCAGTTTGTGAGAATTTCGACTGGAAAAAGCAAGGGGTAGCCTTGTTACGAGTACAAACCTTTTTTGGCTAAATTTGTAGAGAGGGCGAAAGAGACTTGTTTTTTGTTTATTGAGATCTCCGTTGTATGGCAAATTCCTAAATGGCTAAAATAGGTTTGGTAACCAGGCTAAAGGTAAGTTTGTAAAAGTAGGTTAGGTATTGCCGCTATTATCAAACACGCTTTGAATACATGACATTACTCTTATTCACACCTCCCTTTAGTGTATCCAAACCATTCTATTTTTTTCCTTTCAATGGTGACAGCTGCAGAGACAACCACTAGCAATGTCACCCATATTGTTGAGATGAAAGTGAATAACGTTACACGTTGGACAATCTTCGTTTGTTTGTTTGTTTGTTTGAGCCTTTATTTCAACTCGATCTGTAACTGTGTTACATGCTCTAATCGGCCGCTATTTCGGCCGCTTTTCATAGAGGTCGAGCGTGGAGGAGTGTCAGGGGGTCATAACATAAATACTACTTATTCACAAATGAAAACAAAGTAATAATTTTTATACATAAGGTAACTCGTATAATGTAAATAAATAAAAAAAATGGCAATAACTAATAAATAACTCATAAGTCGTTGACATCATCGCCCGGCCTCTTATTTGTCAAGACAATGGATTGTTACAGTTTGTGCTGAGGAGACGTCTGTGGTGACTATTAAGTCTTTAAGTGGCTAAGAGTTATCCGTGAGTAGTTTGATCAGGTTGGTAAGCTACTGAGACTCTTTTTACACAACCAAATGTTTTATTCAGCCGACATTTCTGTGACCGTCTTTTAGCTTCTTCATGGCAATGCTGACTGGTTCACATTGCATATTGCAGCACAGGTGTCGCTGCTTTAGATGCGTCAGCTGAATAAAAGACTTGGTTTTGTAAAAAAAAAGAGTCTCTTTACTGACTGGTAAAGAGTTAGTTGTATGATTTTCCCACCTTTTTCTCCACTGTTGTTGGCGATGATCCGAGGAAATCTCCAGATGTTCCCAGTCCCGATGGCGCTGGCCAGACACGTGATCACGGCGCCCAATGAGGAGGCGAAGGTCGAGCCTCCTTCCTCCTCCGACTGAAAGTACAGAATGCACATGTTACAGGAATACCAGTGTTGAAAATTGTAGGGGGGTGGGCGAAAGAAACATACATATACGGCCACGTCGATTTGATTATATGGATGGCATTCGGGCGCGCATGAACTTTCGACCGTTTCCAAAAAACGTTTTCAATCATACTGTAAATGGTACAAAACTGTTGGAAAATGAGCCAATATATACCGTAAGTTACAAATAAAATATTGGAAAACGACACCAATGTCGTAGAATGCCAAAATCAATCGAGAAAGACGAAAATGTAAAGAAATGAATTTGAAGAGTAGACTATTCGCCATACCACACTGTGTCAATTTTCATGACCATGTAGATTTCCCAATAAAAGCAACTTTTTTGCCAAACTTTTTTTTCGCACGCTCGCATCAATTTTGGGGTTCCTAGAGGATGTCATCCATATAATCAAATCAACATGGCCTAACTTAAGTTTTCTCTGCTACCTGCGTTTTTGACGTTTAGTTCGATGTAATGCGCGATGTAATGATTAACTTGGAGCAAAGAAACTGAGGACTCTGTGAACTACTCCCTTATTTACATGTTATTGGGGGGTCATAACATGACATGTTATTGTCATAAAGTTTTCTGGCCTCACAGTCTGGAAATAACAGGGGCATTAGAAAACGTTACAATGTTGATTTGTCTCCTAACTCTCTTTCATGCTACGTAAAGCCTCGATCACAACCCGCCGTACGTGTTTTTCGTCCGTTCGTTTTTTTAGGAGGCCACGTCTGCTCCGTATTTCTGAACACACGGTACGTACCGCACCGGTACGTACAGGGCACGCGCGTCGCACGGGG